TGTTCAGCTGACTTTCATGGTTAATGAATAAGTTTATAATAATAATAATATTTGTGATACATTTTTAAAAATTCAGCTGACTTGAGTTTCATGTTCAATGAATAAAAGTTTATAATAGTAATAATAATAATAATAATTGCTACAATTTTAAATGTTCAGCTGACTGTGTTTCATATTTAATGAAGAAAAGTTTATAATAATAATAATAATAATAATAGTAATTGTGATACATTTTAAAATGTTCAGCTAACTGAGTTTCATGTTCAATGAAGAAAAGTTTATAATAATAATGATGATGATGATGATGATGTATGGTTTCCCACCATAGCAACGGGTTGGACTTGAAGACCTCCAAGGTCCCTTCCAACTCTAATCTATTCAATAATAATAATCATCATAAAATTTCTGCCTACCGCCAACTTCCACGCAAACCCAGAGAGTTTCCCCTGCTTTGGCCAGGATTGGAGGTCGCCCCGAAGGTTTTGGGACTGGGAAAAAGGGACTTTTCAGAACCTGGCACACACACTCACACACACACACACACACGCATGCAAACACACACACACCCATGACCCCCTCTGCCAGCTGGGATCAGTTGGGTGGGGAGGGGGCCAGGGGTGTCTGTGTGTGTGTGCATGCATGCATGTGTGTGTGTGTGTGTGTGCCAGGTTACGAAAACCTTATGGCAAGGAAGGGAGGGGTGTTTTTTCCTGCCCAGCATTCCTATCCTTTGGGAGAGGAAGCCCACCAGTGTGCATTTGCACACGCGTGTGCAAAGAGAGACAGGACTGGCAGGAATTCCAGCAGGCGTCCTGCAAAACCCCCAACCTGGTTTTAAAGGAGGGGAGCAGGGCCTTGAGTTGCTTCACGGAGTTGGAAGGGACCTTGGAGGCCATCTAGTCCACCCTCCCTCGCTCAGCAGCCCAGACGGGTTGGCGTGTCGAGATCCGAAACGGGCACCAGGGGTGGCAGAATCGGGGGAGGGAGGCATTTGGGGTTCAAGAAAAAAAAGGGGTGGGCCTGTCTAATTAAGGGGGCACCCCAAATGAGAGATAAACCAATGCTGGTAATCCTCGTTTAGTGACTGTTCAAAATTACAACGGTGCTGGGAAAAAGGGACTTTTATGGCCCTTTTTCACACTTATGACTGTCGCCGCATCCTCAGGGTCATTAATCAAAATTCAGGCACTGGGCAGTTGGCTCGTAGTTATGACAGTCGCAGCCCAGGTCCATGAGGAAAGCTGGATTCACTTAATGATGGCCTGATTGACTTAATAACTATGTTGTTCCCCCAATAAGGGGGGGAAAAGGTTTGATTTGTTTTGTGGTAATATATCCATCATATTCTGCAAGTTCTTGTACAGCTTTGT